GGGGGGGTCCTTGCAAAATTGACGTCAACCATGATGCTCTTGGGGGGAAGAAAGAAAATGTTTATTTGATATTTATTTTTTTCGAGCTGAGATGATAATCCAATCTTCTCTTGCTTTGTTTATTTTCCAAGCTATGGCATCCAATCTATTGTTTTAATTATTTTGATTGGTTAAAGTTGTTAATAAATAATTTGGCAGTTCGGGTATTTCTTCGTTGTATTATTTAATAAACAATGGTTTTTACTGCTTAAATTTGAAATAAAGATAAATGTGTAAATATAAAATGTATCCTGTTCAGGTTCAATCTAAATTTACATGTACATTTTGGTTGACGTCAAAAAAAAAAAGGGGGAGGGGGGGGGGTGACCTGGGAAAGGTGACAGAAGATGACGAGGGGGGAGGGGTTTGGGGTCATTTTTGGTCAAATTATAGCTGACGTCATTTGTGAACGGTCTCTAAGCTAACACTAGAGGATTGAAAACGGTAAAGCTAAAAGCCACAATAAAAATCACTCCCATACTGGCCCATAGGCCTAGATCTATTGGGCTAACTCGAACTGAAGTGTTTGGCAATGCAGAAAAACTTGAATGTGATTAAATGCTTGATTACTTTGTATCGTCTATTGTGTTAGTCATTGGTTTTCGTGTTCACTTCTATTGTTGACTTCTGTTTCCCCAAGAGCCAGGTCTGATAGCCACTTCTGTGCAACATCCTGGTTCAAACTTATTTAGATGATGTCACCCATCCCTTCATGTTCCCAAAATAAGCTATGTCTTTATTGCTGTTGTTGTTGCTGTTGCTGTTGTTTTTCATGATGATGGTTATGATGTTCATGTTGTTGTTCATAATTCCTTTTAAAAATAATTTTTACAATATCTGCCTCTTTTAGATTTCACCTCTAGAGTATTTCCTCTACCCATGCAATATCGACCCCTCTTTTGTCTCTCTCTTTCTGTCTGTCTGTCTGTCTGTCTGTCTGTCTGTCTGTCTGTCTGTCTGTCTGTCTGTCT